GTGCAGGACGATGGAAAGAGAAGGCAGTATCTCCATCATGAGGTGGTTTGGTTGTTTTAAGACAATCCCAGGGCTCTGTTCTGCAACTCTTTTTTTTTACTGTGCATTTGGGCTGCAAGTCAGTTGCTGTTATTATCATAGAATCACAGAATCATTTGGTTGGAAAAGAGCTTTAAGATCATTGAGCCCAACTGTATCTGCCCACTACCAAACCATGTCTCTAAGCACCTCGTCTACTTGTCTTTTAAATACCTCCAGGGATTGGGACTCAACCACTAATCTCCTAATCATGCCAATAATTTAAGTTAGGGTAAGAATGAGATAAAAGCAATGGGGTGGCAGACATGTGGAAAAGGTAGAAAGAAGGGGAGGAAAAAAAGGGAGTTAATTAGTGGAGACATACTCAGGTCCATTTTTTTTTTTTTTTGTCTAGCTTTTACAGATCACTATTCATGTAAAAATGTCCAAGATCCACTTTGTCTTCTTGTGAAAAATGAGGCTGAAACCTCAGATATTTCTGTATTGCCCTAATAAGAAGCATATTTAGAATTATGCCATTGATTACCTTCTCTTCCCTCTTACTTAAAAGCAGCATTTTAATTTATAGATTGATAACCTGCACTAGCCATCAGACAGAAAAAAAATCCACTTAGACTCACAGTATGCAATTCCAAAGTCATGTTGAACAAGATGTCTGTAACACTTAACATTTTGTAAATGTTCATATTTCACTAGCGCGAGTCACACTAAATGTGTTTTTTCCTTACACTGAAAAGTAATACGTACCTTCCAATGTTCAGACCCACTGACATACATCTGCTGTTCTCGTTTCTAACCGCTTCCAAGTTGCTGATAACATATGCATACATAAGTGAATTTTCCTATGATTCACCTTTTAAATATTACAATTTTTTTTGCTGTCAAAACTCTGCTAATTTATGCTTCATTATAGGCTAGGAAGTGCAATTGTGGACTGTGCTACAGTAAGGCCTGTAGCCCCTACGTGAGAAATAGGTGCTTTACATGATTCCATGCAGAAACTATCCCACAAACTTTCATTCCAGTATCTTCTATCTTACAATACCATAATTACAAACCTACATCTCTAAGATGTTGGGGTCAAATTATTTAGTGGAAAAAAAGACATCAGTATTATCTGCAAATTCTGTTTCCCACAGGCATAAATTTGATAAGCAGCGAGTTAAAAGTCAAATTTAAGGACACTGAAAGGTTGAGCTCTGTAAAGGAAGCATGGCTATTCTTTAATCCTATAAAGTCTAGAACAGAGTAAACTGAAGCACAAATCAACTATTAACTATTAAAGCAAATACTTTAAGAGTAGGAAACTTAGCCGTTGAAAGGATGACTAAATTAAAAGGTACATGACCACTGTAGGCAACAGAAGCTGTGACGGATCCCCCCAAAAACGGTTGCTCCCCTTTCTATCCCAAACCTGTACCAAACTCTCACATGTACCAGTAAAAAATAACAGATGCCAGAGGTGGAGGCTAATCTGCGTGAAATCTAACCACGGTATTTTTTTTTTCCCCCAGCTAGTTTAGTTTTAACCCCAGTCCGACCGCTGGGAGAGGTCACACATCCACACCTTTATCTCACAGGCACCTTTGCTCTCCCTGGGTTTCTCCATGCACTGCCAGATACAGGACCCCTCTCCACCTTCAATCTCCACGCTCTGTTGACTCTGACACTCATCTGCCAAAAGGGTGGGCAGAGTCACCTTACTAAAACATACACACAGGGGGGGGGAAAAAAAAAAAAGGAAATAAATAAATATCAACTTTATTGCTGCCCTGAGGTCACCCCTTCAGCAACAGGAAACCCCTCCCTACACCCTGCCCGGCCCAGTGGAGGGGCGGTGCTCAGGGGCTGCGGCCACCCGCCCACACGGCGACTCCAGCGACCGCGACGGCTCGCAGCCTGGCGGCGTGAGGCGG